AGACAGATAAGCTAAGGCCTCCCAGAAGAGGTATCATCAGACCTAATCGTATTCTTTCCCAGATGTTGACTCAATAAATTTGAATTCATTTCAGCTTCTCCCAGATCCAAAATGGAAGGACCATTTTATGAAAACTAGGGTAACTACTGCCGGGCACAGTAACTCATGCCTGTAATCCCAGCACTTTGGGAGGCCAAGGCGGGTGGATCACCTGAGGTCGGGAGTTTGAGACCAGCCTGACCAACATGGAGAAACCCCGTCTCTACTAAATACAAAATTAGCCAGGTGTAGTGGCACATGCCTGTAATCCCAGCTACTCGGGAGGCTGAGGTAGGAGAATCACTTGAACCTGGGAGGCGGAGGTTGCTGTGAGCCGAGATCGTGCCATTGTACTCCAGCCTGGGCAACAAGAGCGAAACTCCATCTCAACAAAAAAGAAAAAGAAAAAGAAAACTAGGGTAACTCCATTGAACTCAATTCTCACTGTTGCACTGGGGCAGTGAGAGTAGATGTTATTCTCCTTTCATTCAGAACTTCGCTCTCTGCTTAATACAAAAAGGTCAAGGGAGAGGAAATGGCTTCGAGGTCCAGTGACCTGTAGAGTCCCACTGGGGTATATGAGCCAACAGCAAGGCTGTATATCTGCTCCACAGGTGGAACAAGTGGGAACACCAGTGCCTTTTCTATGGTAAGACAGGATTTTGGCTGTTGGCATTAGGAGCAGAATTGCCGTTGCATAGATGGAACCAGGCTCTTCCTTTGAAACAAGCACTTTTCATATCTCTTTAGGTTGTTCCCACATAGAAAATACATGAGGCCGAAATCTCAGTGTTCGCTAGCCTTGTGTCTGTACTTGAGTGAGTGCCACTTTCCCATTTTCTATCACAGTAGGGAAACAATTTTCGGGCCGGGTGCAGTGGCTCCCGCCTGTAATCCCAGCACTTTGGAAGGCCGAGGCAGGCAGATCACCTGAGGTCAGGAATTCGAGACCAGCCTGGCCAACATGGTGAAACCCATCTCTACTGAAAATACAAAAATTACACAGGCATGGTGATGCATGCCTGTAGTCCCAGCTACTCGGGAGGCTGAGGCAGGAGAATCGATTGAACTCGTGAAGGGGAGGTTGCGGTGAGCCGAGATTGCACCACTGCACTCCAGTCTGGGAACCTGGGTGATCTGAGATTCCATCTCAAAAAAAAAAAAAAAAAAAAAGTAGGGAAACAATATTCAAAGTTTTTTTCTAATCTTTCCTTATACGATGACATTTTATTAGCCAAAAACAAAAGAATGCCACCTATTTTGTCATGAGGATTCAAATATATTCAGCAAATTTATTGAGAATAATTATCTGGCATTATGCCACTGTGTGGATCCAACTCCTAGTTTTTTGACTATGACAAGTTAATTAAATACCCAGAGTCTTGGTATCTTTATTATATGAATAGTTATATGTAACATGAGATTAATAATGTGCTTACCACCCAAAGTCATTAAGAGTAAATAAGATTATGCTTTAAAAAAAAAAAAAACTTGCCCCACTGCCTGAAACCTAATAAATGATGAATAAATGTTAGCTGCCATTATAATAATGATAATAATGAAGATGATGATGAATACATTTGCACTCATGCATTCAACAAATAGTTACTGAACACCAGCTAGCTATAAACCGGGCAGTGTTTTATGTCCTTGGGACACTTTAGTGAAAACAGATTATCTCCATTGACTTTCTGGAGATATATATAATGATATGCATTATAGTATAGCAAGCTGTTCTTTAATACTTGGCTTGACCTAATTCTCTGGAGAATACAAGTTAGTAAATATTTGGTATCAATTAATAGGTCAAAGTCTCATACTGGGGGAAAAAAATCTGAGTTTTTAATTTTAAATATTTAGAGAGTATAGATTTCTAAATTATCTTTCTACCTAGTAGCAAGTACTTATAATTTAGGATTGAACTATTTTCCAATTTAACTATAAAGCCATATGTCTGACAAGGAGAGTATGCTTATGAAACAGTATTTGAATTGGGGATTGTCTCAGAAAGTCTAACACATATGGTGCCCATATCAGTGCAGTTGCCCAGGGGAAATTAGAAAGAAACACGTCCTGTGTGTCATTCCCTGAGATCAATGTATTCCCTCAGCAAAGCTGGCTCTAAAATGTGCCTTTTGCCCTTTGGCCTGTACCAAGATGCTGTGTGTGCAATACTAGACAACACTGAGATATCTCGCAGAAATATAAAGGTTCACTTCTAGCCACGTTGCTGTAGTATGCTAGTAAAGTACTTTTCCCAAGCTTCAAAAGGACATTCTGTAGAGTCTTATGATGTAAGAGGGTGTTCCCACTTCAGCTGTGGCCAGCAGATGCTATGTCAACACTCTCTGTGTCCACGTGTGCTGATAAAAGCAAGGAAAATGTGAATAATGGAAAAGAATGGCAGGCAGTTCTTTTGCTGGCTATGGTCATTTTAAACACAAGCTAAATACACACTTAAGCTTCTCCCTGGCAAAGTGATTTAGTCCCCTTGAAATTTTTCACTCTTGTGAGAATGACTCACGTCTTGGAAATGACAAGTTCCAAGTCTGGTGCTCCCAGCACCTTTAGGCATTGGTTAATGTACCACGTGGGAGTTTTCAGCATCCCCTCAGCTGTGTTAATTAACAAGAGATGCTGTACTTGCCTGCCTTTCACTGAAAACTCAGCATTTCACCATTCCCCAACAGTTTAAACTTTCCACTTGGGTTAAGGTTACATTTATCAAACTCCAACATTACACGCTATGGTGTCCCACATAGTTGCTAGAAGTGGAACACCAATTTTCTTTTTGTTATGTTTGCTTTTTCGCTTCCTAGTTAACTGATCCTTTAAGCTGCAATGCATTTCTGGTTTTTAAAAACACTTTCATAAACACTGTTCCATTTTGCTCCTCACCACGGCCCTGTGGGGTCTTTGACAAGTTCTGTTATTTCCATTTAACAACAATAAAGTGACGTCCGCGAGCTAGAATCCTGATCTCCAGGGTGCTTTGCATTATTTAAGTTATACTAGTTGAATATACTGAGCCCCAAATGCATAATGGACAAACAAACATCCAGAAATTATTTTGTGCTAACATAAGAGTCCATGGCAGGTATTCCTGTTTGGTGGGTGGCTCCCTTTCATATGGCAATCTAAGGACCAAGCTCCATCTATCTTGGGGCTTTCCAATTCCCTAAAACATTGTTGATATGTGTATCAAGCCTGTTGAAGGGCCAGAGAGATGAGAGGGAGTATATTATCTTTCTTAAAAGATCTCACTGGAAGTGGCACATCTCAAATTTCCAAAGCCTGGAATGCCTTGGCCACACCAAGTCTATGCTCAGGAAGGAAAGGTAACACAATTGGTAAGAAACCACACTAAGGTTTCCCAAAAGTACAGTGCAGATCCCCTCAGGATCGTCTCAATGTACAATTGCAGGGAATAGCAGGTGACTGTGTGAATGGTGCCTCTTGGAGCTGAGCAGCGTGGTGGCCATGCAGCTGTTAATAGCCTAGAGGATACTGTGTGAACAGTCAGTGTTAAGTTGGCACATGGATTGGGAAATTATAAATAGCACATCAAGCAAAATATTTTGCAAAGGTAATTGCTTAGTCTAAGTTTCTATTTGAAATAAATTTACTTAGCTTTTAAAAATCAATTGAATTAAAGAAAAGGATTAAACACTAAATATGTGCAAATATGAGAAAAGCCCAAAAATGGATGCAAATGACTAAAGATGAGGATGTTACATTTATACCAATTATATCTTCTTTGATAGTTCATCCTTGGAAGAGGAGGAAAATAAAACTCCAGGAGGAAAAAAATAAAATAAAAAGGGTTGCCAACCACCCCTTTAATGTAAACATCAGAAATGCTTTGGGAAATATAAATCCTTTGGGAAATACAAATGTTTTAGGAAAAATGGTCCTTTGGTCCCTGAGTTGCTTAAAACTTTTTTCAGGAGATAGACAAAATTTAGGGATGACTACAAAACTGACTATTATTGAATGGAAATGTGTTTCAGGTTTAATGTACTATAGCTTTTAACAGGATGGAAACTCACTTGCTGAAATAAATCATGATGTTATTTGTCCTTTAATGTGTTCACTATTTCTATAAACATTTATTGTGTTTACTGTGTTCCAGTAAGGTTTGTGATGCTCCAGATCTAATCATCTAGTATTGGTGATGGTGGATGGAGGAGATAGACATTGGAACAAAGGAGTACAATTCAGAATTATGAGGGCTTTGATAGATATCTATGCAAGGTACTTAAGGATGGAAGATTTTTAGCATCAGTGGGAACTTCAGAAATAATCAATTCTAAAATCCCTCATTTAACAGTTATTTTTACAAAACAACAACTGAGACCCAGAGAGGTATGGGGACTCACCCAAGGTCACACAGTTAGTTAATGAGCTAGTACTAGAATCCAGTATCCTGATCTCCAATCTCAGCTGGCTGCATGGAAAGGATTTAAGTTGAGGAATACGCTTTGGAGGTGAGATTAAATTACACGTGAGAAATTTAGCAAAATCTCCAGTGGATGTTTTTCACTGGCCAGTATCAAGGGGTGAGGGGACTATATAGAAGAATGACTGCTTTGGGTGTTAGAAACTTCAGGGTCCACACCTGGCTATGACCACATATATAGAGTACAGCCTTAGGCAAGTGATCTAACACATTAAAGCAATGTATGCAGTATTCGTTTAATACATTGGTTTTCAGTAGTATCCTGTACCATCATCTCATTTGACCCTTGAAACAACTCCCTGAGGTATGCTAGAAAGGCATCCTTATCGCTATTTTGCAGATGAGCAAACTGAAGTGCAGAAAGTCACACAATGAGTTGGGTGAAAAATTGAGTGTTAAAACTCCTGAATGCTTCTAGTCCAATGCTCTCCCTGTGATACTAGGTATATAACAAGTGTGGGACAATCATGGTTAACCAAAGTATCATTTGATTATATTACAGATGCATTGTGAGAGGTTTCTATGTATCCTGAGGATAATTGGAACCACACTCTTTGGAGTCTCTCTCCTCCTTGGAATCACAGCTGCTTATATTGTTGGCTACCAGTTTATCCAAACGGATAATTACTATTTCTCTTTTGGACTGTATGGTGCCTTTTTGGCATCACACCTCATCATCCAAAGCCTGTTTGCCTTTTTGGAGCACCGGAAAATGAAAAAATCCCTAGAAACCCCCATAAAGTTGAACAAAACAGTTGCCCTTTGCATCGCTGCCTATCAAGAAGATCCAGACTACTTAAGAAAATGTTTGCAATCTGTGAAAAGGCTAACCTACCCTGGGATTAAAGTTGTCATGGTCATAGATGGGAACTCAGAAGATGACCTTTACATGATGGACATCTTCAGTGAAGTCATGGGCAGGGACAAATCAGCCACTTATATCTGGAAGAACAACTTCCACGAAAAGGGTCCCGGTGAGACGGATGAGTCACATAAAGAAAGCTCGCAACATGTAACGCAATTGGTCTTGTCCAACAAAAGTATCTGCATCATGCAAAAATGGGGTGGAAAAAGAGAAGTCATGTACACAGCCTTCAGAGCACTGGGACGAAGTGTGGATTATGTACAGGTAGGTCTCCAAATTCCTGCCAGGGCAAACATACATTTAAATAAAGCAGCTTTTGTATCTGTCCAGTCATATGCTATAGCCCATCCTTGTCCCTTCTGAACACAGTACTTCTTTCAGTTCATTTGAAAATAGCATGACTGTTGAAAGCACATTTTGAAAAAGAGAAAAAAAAATCTTGTAAAACTGTTGAGACTATCTATGAAAATGCTTAATTTGTGCCGTGTTATTGGTTAAAAATCAGGATTATTTTGACAGGAGACCCTTCCTTCCTTCCCTTCTCTCCCCCCTCTTACCTTCTTTGCCCCCTTGATTCTGCCAAGTCAAATCCAACGTCATTTTCCACACTCTAAAACTCTCCAGCTTTGTAAAAATATAGTGTCTGCCTGAGCAGAAGGGTCTTGAGAAAATCTGCAGGCTGAAGGGAGGCTGTAAAATGTTTTTTGCAGAGACTGGGCAAAATAAGGGTGGTGAGAACAATTTTGATTTAAAAGAGCAAAAAAAAAATATTAAAATTGAGAGAAGGAAAAGGAAAACAAAAAATGGGAAAAAAAAATCTTAGAGCAAAAGCAAAGTAATGTTTATTTCACTCTCCAAACAGCATTACCTCACTCACTGCAACTTGACCTTTGAAAGCATTTGTGATGGTGTTTGCCTGCATGAAAATTAGGCAGGCTGTGTCTCCCATTAATTTCCTGACAGCTCACTATAGGGGTTCTCCTCTCCTGGTTCTCATTGAAGCTTCCTTCTTTAGAACATTAGTAGGGTCCCTGTGAGTTTCTAGTTTTAATTTTCTGCAGATACTTTATAATAATTAGATTTTGGCCATGATGGTATTGCGAGGGGAAAAATGTCTCTGGTTTAAGAAAGGCACTGGGATGGTCTTCCTCTCCTCAAGAATTTCTAGTGAAATTCTGGTTTTTAGAAAACCCATCCTATTCTTTAGGGTCCTTTACGGCCACAGAGTCATGCCTAGTGGTTGTCACGTAGTGAGATAGGAATGGACATTGGCTTTAGAGTCAATTGACCAAAGTTCTAATCATAGAGATTACTAGCTGGTTGACCACGGGCCAGACCACCTCTCTGAGTCTCAGTTTTCTGGATAGAATAAATTAATGTATTCCAAGAGTTTGGCAAAAGTTATTTATGATATTATCATTGATAGAATGAAAGCTTTTTATATTACTATTGTTATTTATTACCATTTAGTCCTTACTCAAATTATAGTACCTGTCAATTGCCACCATATGACTAATTTCAGTTGATGTCTGAAGAGTTTAGAGGCATTTCTTCATTATGTTAATCTGCATGTTAATCTCCCTTCTAGACAGTTGGGAGCATTTCTCTGTCAAGTTTCTCCTAATTTCTCAAAGGTAAAACTTTCAAGTTAAGGTAGTTTGAGTTATCTTTGGACATTTGGTATTTACATAGTATAACTTTGGGCTTGGATGAGAGGATAATAGGCTATTTTCAAAGGGAAAGGATGATGAGAACTTATAGAGGATATGAAAAATGAAGTTCTGGGCTTTAAATGAGAAAACATCTGTTTTGATATTTTGTCTTTTAGTTAAAACAATTGCCACATTCGTCATTTCTAATCAAGGCCTCGTTGTATGGGTTTTTTCTTACTTTTCTTTAAACCTGCTCCTCCCAAACCCTCTTCTCCCATCATTTTTGTTTTGAATTTGTTTGTATCCTTGACAACTTTATGCTGTGCCTGTCCAGGAAAAAAATAATACAAAATATGAAATATTAGAGTAGGGCTCCTGCTAGAGCCCTAATTAGGCTTGAGAACTTTTCTTCCTCCAGGCTGAGATAGGGGAAGTCTCCAGATATACTGACCCGACCAGTGGCTCTTAACTGGGCCCTGATGCCTTCTGGGACTCTCAGCCAGTTCCAAGCACTCACACAGGAGTACAAATGTCTTAGCATTCTGAAACTGGTAATTCCATCTTTCCATCCCTCAGTAATTCCCCCAGTATTTAACCATATTTGACCTGTAAAAATGGCAATTTCCTAAGGTTCAATCCACAACACTAAACACTCCCACCTTCTATTCTGACTGACCCAGGGTTTGAGCATTACAAAGCAGAAACCACAGAAAGACAAATAAGGGAAAAAGGGTTTGAGGATGTTGGCTGCTAAGCATTACAAGTGATGGAACTTGGAGTGCAGGCTGGTTAGGGAAAGAAGGAAGTGAAGTTCAGGTGGTAATACGCAAGAGAAAAAGGGGGCTGGGTAAGAAATTGACCATGCTCACAAACTTGCTGGAGAATTCTGCTTAACTGTGGAGAGAGATGGCCAAAAGGATTGGTTTCCAGTTGCAGCCGAATCCTTGGCACTCTTCAGCACTCTTTTCACTTGGTCTTGAATAGATGTCTTGCTTATTGCTCTCATAGCCTATTATTTCATACCTTCACCACTTTCCCAAAACCCTATCCAAACTCCTCTCTGCTTAACTACTAACAGATGACCTTGCCTCCTATTAAGGAGAAAGTCAAAAGTACTGATTCTGAATGCTGTCAAGATCATCTTTACTCTCTTCTTAAACTGTTTCAAGAGTATCCAACCTCACTTCTTGTTTCAAGGTTATACTTTTGATCTATGCCCTTGAGACCACTGGACCTGCTTCCTCTTGTCTCCTCGGGAATAAAGCTTTCTCAGTTACCAGCTCTAACTCTATCTGTCTCAGCTTTCATCTCTAGTCTTCTCTACTGACTGCTCTCTCAGCCTTGTAGCTGTTCAAATAATTAATGCTGACATAGAGCAGTGAGGGAGTCAGTAGTCAAGGAGAAACCCAGTGTGGTAGCAAATTTATCTGATGATGCTCATGGGTGCTTTCAGAGATGAAGATAGAAAACAGGAAGGGAAAAAATAAATTGAGAAAAGAAGTTAAAGAGGGCCAGTGTGGTGGCTCATGCCTATAAGGGCAGTGCTTTAAGAGGCCAAGGCGGGAGGATTGCTTGAGCCCAGAAGTTCGAGACCAGCCTAGGCAACATAGGGAGACCTCATCTCTACAAAAAAAAAAAAAAATTAGCTGGACTTGGTGGTACACATCTCTGGTCCTAGCTACTTGGGAGGCTGAGGTGGAAGGATTACTAGAGTCCAGGAGGTCAAGGCTATACTGAGCCATTATCATGCCAGCCTGGGTAACACAGCAAGACCCTGTCTCAAAAAAAGGAAAAAAAAAAAAAAAGAGTTGAAGGGAATGAATTTTTTTTTTAAAGTAGAATGAGCAAGATTTTTAAAATTCATAGTCGGTGTATTTTCTAGAGAAACTTTGTTTTAAAAAATGGGTAGATTCTGACCTGTTCTGAGTATGGCTTAGTGTTGGACAAAAGTTTGGTGTACCTCTTTGAAGTAGTGTTTATATTGGCTTTTTTATTTACAAAAGTAACACAGGCTTATGGCAGCATGTTTCAAAAGTATTAAAAAAGTACAATAAGCAAAATTAAAGTTATCTTAAACAAATACCCAACCAATTGACACTTTCCAATGTATATTTTTCTATTTTTCCCTTGTTTTTAGAACACTTTGGGATTATGTTAATTTTTTATCTTTTTTAATGAAATGGTATCAGAAAACTTAAAATATATTGATGTCTTGATTATATAATTGCTTTATTCCTAACTCTTACTGAACATGCATATTACAATTCAAGTGGCCACCAGTCTATGAGACAAAGGAAAACAAAAAAATCCGCTGATGTGTGCATGAGGGACTTCCTAGGTAGAAAATATATAACAAATAAGAACATCATCTAAGCTGGAAGATTATAGGAGGAAATGTTATTATTGATTTAATCTCATAGCATTCTACATATCCAGAATTCTCTGAGTTGGAAAAAAGTAAGGCTTTATTATTGATAACAGTAGAGTTGACTGTGATTATTACTGGATTCTGTATTTGTAAATTTGTCTACTTGGTAAAATGTACTTGTAACCCTAAAATCAATAATTGCAGTCATTAGGTGATCATTTGCTAACAAGCACACAATGGCAAAAAATTTGACTCGTCCAGTGTGCATGTTCCAGCTGAGGTCAAACAAGGTGATGCTTTGGCTTCTTGTTTCAGCTTTTATACTGTAAACAATTATCCTCTTCATGGTGTCTTTAGTGCCACATTTTCCCCTTTTTTGTGCTTTTCCTTGGCGGTGTAGCTGTTTAACATGGCCTCGAACTGTAATGCTGAAATGCTATCTAGCGCTCCTAAGCACAAGAAGACTGATACATCTCGTGCAGATGAATTTCCTTTAGGCATGAGATACCATGCTGTTGGACATGAGTTCAATATTAATGAACCAACCATATGTATATTAAATAAGGTACATATAAACAGAAGCATAGGTAAAACAAGATTATGTGTTGTCAAAAATGTTGTGGCCAGAGGTTCGGAGGAACCTAGCCCTGTGTTTCTGCTAGAAGCACATTTTCAGTATTTTCCAGTTCAGTGTTCCTGGCAACTTTATGTAATATAACTACCATAAATAATGATAATCAACTGTGTATAACATTTGACTGGTTCCTGTTCTGTTCTGTATAGAAAGCCTGAGCAACTGAAATATTCTGCGGGCCAGTATTGAGAATAGTAAGTTTATTTGTGTCTTTCATTTTGGAGGATAAGACTAAGAGCTCACTGAAATAGGAATGAGGAAATCTGAATTGTGTACCCAACTTTGTTGTTTACCTGCTGTGGTCCTGGCCTTAATGAATCATCCATTGAGGTAGTAGACCAGATGATCTCTAAGATCTCCTTCAGCTCAAGATTGTTAAGTCAGTATTGGTGTAATTCTTCTGACATCTTAATTATATCTGGCAACATCCTGAAGCTCTGCTAGAGCAAGATCAAAAGAAAAAGCGGTATCAGAATTTTCATTTGTCGGTTACTATCATGTTTCTCACTCTCACTTTTAATCTGCCTTTTTCCCCCAGATTGCTTCTCGAATATAAATCTTGATTTAAGGGCACCATTATGAGCTTTCCTGATTCTCTTCTTTAGAATGA